CAACAACAACAACAACAACAACAACAACAACAACAACAACAACAACAACAACAACAACAACACAACAACAACAACAACAACAACAACAACAACAACAACAACAACAACAACAACAACAACAACACCCCTTCTGGTCGGGGGCGGTGCCTTGAGTTGCAGGCATTGCCCCGCATGCCAAGGGGATACTGTTGGAGTTTGTGCAGCCAAAAGGGGATTAGCTGAACTTGCTTTTTCCCTTAGTCTTGCTGCCGGTGCGTGTGTGCGTGTTTGGTACGACCACCCCGCACCCCAAGCCCTGTCTCCGAGCCAATGCCCCCAGCTTAGTACCTTTGTGAGGGATCGCAAGGGGAAGAGTTTCTGTTCCTGTGAAGTGGGCTGTCTTGCCTAAGTGCCCAAATCCAACCCAAGCCGCCCGGCTTGGGGGGGCGGGCCCATGGAGGTTCGGGTGGCGTTTTTCCCAGCTCGAATTGAGGGGCTCGGAGCGTCGAACTCTTGCCGGACCTCCCCAATGACGCAAGCGGAGGGGGGAAGAGATGGCGGGAGGGAACGTTTCCGTTGGCCGGAGTGCACCCCAGGCCGTCCACTCACTCACTCACTCAACAACAACAACAACAACAACAACATTTTTGCATTGCACTCACTGCCAGAATCAGCATGTGGACCTCTGATCACTTTGGATCCTCGGCACGTCGGCTACTCTGTATCCGCCTTGGGAGCTCCAGCAGTCTTTGCTAGTTCGTACTTCACGCCCCTCAGGGCTGCTGAAAGGATTGTTGTGCACAGCTATGTTCGAGTATGTGGAATGCATCCGCCCCTCAGGGCTGCGATAGCGCTGTGCTGGCTGGGCACCCTACGACCGCTTCCTACTGGCTCACCTGCACCCGCGACTGCTGCAGTGCCGGCTGGCCCCGATGTTGTGTTGCAGGCTATAGCTGTGCGCTAGCTGAGTTTGGTGTGATTAAGGCGGGCAAGTGTGATATAGAAGGTCTCACCCGCCTTTTTTATTTCACAGTCCGGCCTTTTGGACTTCGAGAGGATCGCTTCCTCCAGATTGCCAGGTCTCACTACCTGCTATACTGAATCTGCTTTGGCAGAGTACTTAAGGATATTCAGGAGGAAACCTCCTAATCTGATGCAATGAATCAATAGGTTCAAGAAAACGGTAAGAGTAAATTAAGATAAGAAACAAAAGTGCATTGCAAACTAGAGTAGATCAAGATTTGCCAGCTTGCTGACTGAAAATGAGAATTAATGATTGTAGTTTGCCTGAAGCGCAAGCTGCTCACAACTGAAAGTTCCGTCAAGTGTGAGCATGCATGCTGGTGCTAACGAGATGATTAGCTGCAAGCAATGCTATCTGGAGATCACTCCCTGCCTGATTGTTCAGAGCATCGGTTGACGTCAGCCAAATGCAGCCTGCATCACGAGCGGTGTGCTCTGCAAGGGGTAGGTGGGTGGGATCCCCATTGTGCAACACAGACTTAGGCAAGATTTCTTCCTCATAGCCGCTGATGGTCACAAAAAGCCATCTGCGTTTGTTGCAAGGCTTGACAAGTGATATTGCAATCCCTTGCTGGAGAAGCTCCATTGCACTTTAATGTATGAAGAAGGTCTCGAGAAGATGAAAGATGCAAACAGCATGGGAGGAAGCCTCCTAATGAAAGAAAGAAAGAGACACTATTCTCATCCTTTGTGCTAAATGGAGTTCTGCCATACTAATGCATGGCTTAGTCGAGTTGAGAGTTGCACCTTCAATTGTGCCGATTTAGGTGTTGAGAAGTGTACAGGGAATCGGCGAGGTGCAGGAAGGGGAGGAAGCCTCCGGAGGTAGCCTCCACTCATTCTGTGTGTCCTGCCGAAATTGTGGTCCACTGTGCGATCGCTATGTTCATTTCCGCATCCTCTGCAAAGAACTCATCACGCACTTGCCCAACCTCTTGTTGATACAGAGCGTCAAGATGCGGCGGAAGCATGCTTGAGGTATACCGGATAATGTGCGTCTCACGATAGAAGCTCTCTAGTTCGGTGAGGATCACGCTGTAGTACCACGTTCCTTGGGTGGTGGGAAGCTCGGTGAACCTCATCAGGCTTAAGTATCGTAGGCTGATGCTCCGCAACTTTTGGCGCCGGGCCGCCTTGATTTCACGCCATTCATCATATCCGGTCAATGACCGTACTGCCCAAAACAGTGTCTTCAACCTCTCTGCTTGGAGCACCTCATGTGCGTAGTTCATGAACTGGGCGAGGATTTTCACCTTGTGAGTGTAGAGATACTCCGCAACCCTTGTGCTGGTAGTCTCGGAGGAGATGTTCTGGTCCTCAGCAACTACCTGCTGGTGCACGAGAGCAACCAGGAGCGGAGTGAGCGCTTGCACCAAGCTAGTGCTCTCCATTGGAAACACAGGTGTTGATGGCTGGATTCGAGGTTAGAATGGCTACTGCCAACGGAAGTGTGAAGTGGTTTCTTGTGTCAGGCAGGCATTGACCATTGCTAACAAGC